AACTTCTCTAGCTAGCCTCTTCTTGAATAGTCTTATTGCCGAGGTGGCGGTGTAGCACAATGTATTGCATCTAGTATACTGTATGTTGAAATGTATGTTATCTAGAATTATTATCTTGTTCTATTGTTCTGTACCACCTGAAACTTGTATAATGCACATCTAACAGTAGTAGCTTGTTCTGGCACCAATAGGGTCAATAATTACAGTACAGTACTAGTTCCAGTACCCCATACCATTAATACTTACAGTACAGTACTAGTTCCAGTACCCTTAACATTAATAATTACAGTACAGTACTAGTTCCAGTACCCTCACTGTTAACAATTACAGTACAGTACTAGTTCCAGTACCCTTTATCATTATTATTTGCAGTACAGTACTAGTTCCAGTACCCTTACATTTTTCACATATAGTACAGTACTAGTTCTAGTACATAAAATTACAGTACAAGTACTAGTATCACTTTTTAGTTCCAGTACCAAGGTACTGGAACAACATTAGTAGGCTCACCCCTACTCGGAGATCTAACGAAAATTCAGAACCATGGCTCGTAAGTTAACAATTATATTGGCACTGATCTTATTCATTCCTTTATGACTGTTGATATTCTAAATCTCACAATATTAAGAGAGACAGCCTAGACAGGTTAGAATAGAAATCATTTTTGACCACAAAATTTTACATCCTCATAGAGATACAGTCCATTGCCAACTTATGTACCATACCCAGCACAACAAGGCTACTCAAGATGCTCACCACAGCTAGCACAACAACAAAATGTGAGTTATGCAGTTGTTTAATGTCCTGCTTAAACTGTATCCTCACCCTATTCTTCTGGTTTATAAGTATGCTCCACAGCCTAATACTGGCTATGCTCCACAGCCTAATACTGGCTATGCTCCTAATACTGGCTATGCTCCACAGCCTGCAAGATCTAGCCAGTTTGGTTACGCTCCTCAGCAGGGATATGCTCCACAACCACCTTGTTACACTCCCCAGCCTGCTCCTCAGCCTGTTGGTTATGCTCCACAGCAGGGATATGCTCCACAGCAGGGATATGCTCCACAGCCTCAGCAACAAAATGTAAGTTGGTGTTGTATTGTTGTTGATCATTACTTTTATTATTGTTATTTTATCAGAACAACAATGTTGTAGTGGTTAATACCGGGCAACCAAAGGCTGACTTTTCTATGTCATTGGTTCAGTGCTGCAAGATTTCATAGAGCTGAAGAAATTTTGGCTAACTGTTTTGATTTTTATGACAATAAGACTTATTCATAATTAATTGGGGCGAGCATAAGCGAGCCCCACTCAGGCGAAGTCTCCCTCCCTCCCTCCGTATGTATGTATGTATGGGCATTACTAGAATGCGGATCAGTGCGGATTGCTGCGGATCGTTCCGCACGCTGAACCAAGCACGTGAACGCGCGGAACGTGCACGGGAGTCTGCCTAGAATGCGGATCAACTCAGAATATACACCATAACTTCCCGCGGATCAGTCCTCTTGTTCTTCTATTCCATTCAATCTTTATTTGTTGCTATGTTTAACTCTTTATAAAGTAAAAATGACTATTTTTAACTGTAATAATTTTAAACTTTGAATGTAAGAGATTTCAGTGATGATATCAAAATAAAAAGCCTTCAGTCATTGGTCATAGAATAGATTATACTACATCTAGATCTAGTTGCAATGAAATGAGTTACAATCTGCATTAAAAACAAACATATAGTTGTAAAATTTAAACAATGAAAGTTGCCTCACAAATAACAATTATTTTCATTGTGTAAAAATGATTATTATGATGATATTACCAAAAATATAAAATATTCTATTGGCCAAAAATTGTTACCACCTATCATTTTTATTTGAAAGTATTTCTTTTACGTGATTACAAATACTGCTCTGATTGCATTAAGTGTTTATAATGCTGTTATAAGCAACTTAGACTGATAGCAAATCTTTACATCAGTGGCTGATATCATTATCTCTTAAAAGTTGTTCAAGGAACTAAGATAATTCAGTTTAGCAATTATCAATGAACAGTATGAAAAGTTGCTAACAAAATTCAAGTTGACCCAACTCTAGTTGCTAATTAATGCAGAGCATAAGATATTTTTATTTGACTTACTTTCAGAGTCATGTTTCCTACATATATTAAGCTTAAATTATTATAACTCCCT